CATGATAGGGGTCTACATTAAACTCATATGTACTGCCTCCTCTCCATGGAATCAAAGGCTGGAAAGGAAAAAAGGAAAAAGTTACAATCTAATGGTTTTTCTTTCATATATTTAGAGATTTCCCTACAGAGAGATTAAGAATGTGCATTTGGTTTATAACTCAATTTATAACTTATTCCCACTACTCCACTGAAATCGATCTTTTCAAGATCAGCAATCACCTCCATCTTGCCTCATTAAATAGTTTTCAGGTCTCATCTTCCTGCATTCTTAACATTTGATGTATGGTTACTCTCTGCTTTCCGAAACACTTTATTTGACTTTCAGGGGATCATACCCCACCCTGGTTTTCTTCCTACTTTACCTCTCAGTCTCCTGAGTTCTGTAGTTCCTCTTAATCTTCCTTCCTTTTAAATATTATAATCCCCAGGCCTCAATTTCTCTCTATATACTCTCTTGATGATCTCGTTTAGTGTCAGTTTTAAACAACAAACAGCTGGTAACTCTCAGCTTTGTACCTTCAACTCTAACCTCCTTTCTGAGCTCCAGACTCTGTGACCAAAAGCCCACTATTTGACCTCTCCACCGGAGTATTCATAGGCCTCTTTAACTTAACACATCCAAAACAGAACTTTTGACTTCCTGCCACTGCTCCAATTTTTCCCATCTCGGTATATGCCAACAGCATTTACCCCAGGTCAAAATACTGGAACCATTCTTTCTTCATTTGCTCTCTCACACCTAAACCATCAGCAAATTCTGTCATTTCTATCATCATTAAATTTTCCCAAATCTTATTACTTCTCAATATCTCTGCTGTTACTGCTCTAGTTCAAGTCACCATCCATCTTTTGGTCTATAGCTATAATCTCCTAACTGGTAGTCACTCCCTTCTTGTTTGCTTACAATCAGTCCTCTATATAGTAGCCAGGATGATCTTTCTACAGCATAAAGGAGGTTATTTTACTCTCCTGCCCCAAATGCCCTAATGGCTTTCCTTCACACTGAATAAAATCCATGACCTATAAAACCATGACAATTTTTGGCCTCAGCCTGTCTCTCCAACGGCATTTCCCACTACATCTGCCCATCTCCCTCAGCTCCAAGAACACTAGCTTTTTTTCAGTACCTTTTCTCAAGAGACACTTGTAATTTCTCACATATCAAGTTTATTCCAGCTCTTTTTCCAGATCTTTGCATCATTTGCACCTTCACTTACTGTCTTTGTGCAAATGTTTCCTCAGAGAAGCATTCCCTGACTACTCCTAAAATGTAGCCCTGATTCCCAACATTCCATATCCCCTTACTCTGCTTTAATTTTCTTCATAGTACTTATATTTTATCATATTATTTACTTGTTTACTGTATGTTTCTTATGTAGGCTTTGAAAAGACTTTGTCTATCTCATTTACATCCATAATCCTAATGCATGCAGTAGTATCTGGCATAGACTAGGAAGCTCAGAACTACGGTTTATCACAAAGGAAACTGGCATACATTCTAGAAGGAATGTCTTACAAGTTAGTAGTCTACAATATGCAGGGAGAAGGTAGGGTGGCCGACCATCTCACCATCTCAAAGACTAATGGGTTTCCCAGGCCACAGGACTTTTTTTTTGAAACCAGAATAGTCCCAGGCAAGCTGGACTGTTGGTTACTCTAGAAAAAGTCTGTATTTTTTTTAAAGGGGATGAACTCTACTTGAGTCCAGTCAAATGGACTCATACTTGGATAATAACAAACATAGCCACCTCTACTCACTATTTACTACATACAGACACTGTGCAAGTACTTCTGGTAAGAAAATTCTAGCTTCACCAGAATTTTTAAGGGATACGCATTTTATCTCCATAATACAGAATAGGAAACTCCTGGTACTGACAGAGTTAAAGAAACTTGCCTGCAGGTAAACAGTTTGAATGAAAGGACTATAGAACCAGTAAAAATAAACAACTTGGTAAGGACCAGAATCAACATTTGGAGCTGACTTTGCACAGTTCCGAAGGAAAGAATTTGTCCTCGTATTCATTTAGCTGAGATTTTTTAATCAGTGTTATTCTTTAAGGGAAGGTTAGCAGGACTCAGTCAAAAGAGGTCTGGGATTTCTACAAAGTTTGGGATAGTTGATCTTGTTCTGCGAAGCGGGGGAAAGTGAGCTATCCAGATTCTGAATAGGACCTCACTGACTGAGTTCATACTGCTAGTAATTACAACTCAGTTCAAATTTCATTACCAGAACTTAAGTCCAAACTCAGTTTTTCTTTAATTTTTTACCTACTTTTTTAAGGCAGTGAAATAACTACAAAACAAAATATAGGAAGATATCGATTATATAAAGTCCTGGATGTTCTGGTCTGAATTTCATCTCTCATGCTACCTCACTCACAGGAATAATGTAGGGTTAAGGCTAGTAGGCTTTGGAGTAAAACAATCCTAGATTTGTGCCCTGGCTTCATAATTAACCATCTTAGCAAGCCATTTTGCCACTTTGACCATTTTCCTCCTCACAGGGTGATAATTAAGTGAGATAGTATAGGTTAGGGTGCTTAGCACAGAGCTAGGTGCTCAATGAATTGTGGCTATTAATATTAATAATAGCTTCACCTGAATTTATCATAATTGTTTTGGGATACTAAAAGAATACTCCATCTATTGATAAGAGGTGACAGTGGAGTTTGGATTTTATTTTAAAGATATTGGGGAGGCATTAAAGTATTTTAATCAGCAAAGTGGTAATAAATGAAAGGAAACAATAAAGAAGACTGCAAAAGATTTTAAGAAGGAGTGAGCAGAGAGAGAAGGGAAATATCAGGGCATGTATTATCTTAAGGCCAGGAGAGAAGTGGGGACAACCTCATTAAATGATACAAGAGGGAAAAATAAGACCTGCAAAGTGTCCACTGAATGGCTGATACAGAGAACAGTTAAGGCCTATTAGAGCATAGCCATTTTAAATGATGCCATCTGTCTGCTTGCAATAAAGCCACATTTCTTAGTTTCTCCACTGCATGCAAAGACACAATCTACCTCTCCTTTGAGTCCTGAGCAAAAACTTTCAACTGTTTCCCTTTGCCTATGGAATTAAATTATGGGTTCCATAGCCTATTGTTCTAAGCTCTTCACAACATAGCCCCAACCCAACTTTCTATCCTCTTTGTCCCCTTCTACCCTAAAGACGTGTAATTTTCCTTTCAACTAAATGTCTTGCTGCTCTCCAAATATAAACACAGTAGGCACTTTCTCAAATTCATGCTTTTATTTGTATCCTAGTTATAGAACTTAATGAATTTGCTTCAGAGTATAATTATTTGTATATCTACAATTACAAAAATCTCAGAATCATAAAAAAACTTAAGAAAATATTTATCTTACAAAAATCTTGTCAGTTTTTTCACTAGTCTGTGACAAAATGAGAAAATACGAATATTTTGATGTATTCTTCATAAATATACACATTTATTTGGTTCAAAGGACTATCCTTAAAGTAGAGACTATGTCCTCTTAAGTTTTGTTTTGGTGTTGAAACATCCTTTCTGGGGTCTCTGGGTGGCTCAGTCATTACGCGTCTGCCTTTGGCTCAGGTTATGATCCCAGGACCCTGGGATCAAGACCACATCGGGCTCTGTGCTCAGTGGGAAGCCTGCTTTTCCCTCTTCCACTCCCCGTGCTTGCGTTCCCTCTCTCACTGTTAGCTCTCTCTGTCAAATAAATAAAATCTTAAAAAAAAAAAAAAAAAAAAATCCTTTCTTTTACAATACGATGGTGATATAAAGAGCATTTTTTTATGTCTGTACTTGCTAACTTAAAAATTGGTAACTTTGGAGCACCTGGGTGGCTTAGTCAGTTAAGCTTCTGACTCTTGATTTTGGGTCAGGTCAGAATATCAGGGTATGGGATCGAATCCCGCATTAGGCTCTGTGTTCTGTGTGAGATTCTCTCTTCCTCTCCCTTTCTCCCTGCTCACTTGCTCTCTCTCATTCTCTGTCTCTCTCTAAAAATCAATCAATAAATGAAATCTTTAAAATAACTATAAAATAGGGCACCTGGGCGGCTCAGTCAGTTGAGTGTTTGTCTTCGGCTCAGGTCATGATCTTAGGGTCCTGGACTAGAGGCCCACATCAAGCTCCCTGCTCAGTGAAGAGCCTGCTTCTCCCTATCCCTCTGCTACTCTCTGTTTCTCTCTCTCTCTCTCTCTCTCTCTCTCTCTGTCAAATAAAGAAATAAAACCTTTAAAAAAATAAAATACCTATAAAATATTGGTAACTTTATGTAAATTTGCAAAATTTTTAAATTCTCAAAGTTCATGAAATCAAAAAAGCGAGAGACCATTGGTCTCTTCTAACTCTTACTTGACCTACAAATTCCCTCTGCAACATCTCTAACAAGTTATGCAAACCTCTGATTGAACGCTTCCAGAGCCAGTGAGCTCACCTTCTCCTAAGATAGCATATTCCATTTTTTCACAGCTTTACCTATGAGAAAGTCTTACCTCAGCTCCACTTCAAGATCAAAAAGCTGTTTGAGGGGGGCCCTTTTTATTTCTTCCTTTGGAATTTCCTACCTTATGCCTTTTCCATAGTAGTCATTCAAAAATACTTCTTAGTTGACATTCTCTAAAGGAATCTAAGTTTGATAGAAAATAATAATTTATGATCCTGTTATGCAAAAACATTTAATGATGGGGCCTTGGAAAGGACCATAATACCCTTTCCCTGCAGGAAGTGTATTTACAAAGTAGGAGGATTAAAGCTTTGGGGTGGAGTTTATATTGTTTTCCTTAGGTATTAAGTCTATTCATTAATATAGCACTAAAGCCTTCCAAACTATCCTTTGAAAATTGCCTGAAACCCCTGGGGAAATTATTATAATATTTTGCTCTAATTTTGTTTTATAGCTTTTCATATATAATCACTTTAGGAAAAAAACAATCTAGGAGATAAAAAGTTGATATGTGATTTGATTATATTCATTTGTAATTTTGTGTTATTTCTTTTTCTAAAGCTGGGGCCTCAACTTTGGTGAGCAAGGATATATTCGGATGGCAAGAAACAGTGGAAATCACTGTGGGATTGCTAGTTATCCCTCTTACCCAGAAATCTAGAGGATCTCTTCATTTTATAACAAGTCCGTAAAATATAACACTTTTTCTTAACTTAATTTTACCTGCTATAACCTGTAGAAATAAGTGTGTCATGACCAACGTACATTTACTGTATAAATAGAATATGTAGTTTGACTATTTTTTTAGCTTTGCAGATATTGGAAAAATTTTGCTACACAAATTAATAATGTACTGTCTGGGTGCGCCTGGGTGGCTCAGTGGGTTAAAGCCTCTGCCTTCAGCTCAGGTCATGATCCCAGCCAGGGGCCTGGGATCAAGCCCCACATTGGGCTCTCTGCTCAGCAGGGAGCCTGCTTCCCCTCCTCTCTCTGCCTGCCTCTGCCTACTTGTGATCTCTGTCAAATAAATAAATAAAATCTTAAAAAAATAATGTACTATCTGTACGAGAATAGGTCAACCTAAGAAATCTGTCATGTTTGTTTTGCCACTGTCTTATTTTACACGCTTTGTCTTTTTAGTTCCCTGGTATTGTTTTGTAATATGATGGCATATAAAGGCTGAATAAATATCTCTTTTCAACTTTGTATTCGTACCACATACCATTCCTTTCTTATCCTTAGGTAACTATTATAATCTATCATGCAGATGTAAATTGTAGTATGCTGGTGAAGGGCTTTGGCAAATATAATGGAGGAAACTACTGGGTTACTAATGTCCTGAGGGCTGATAGGGTATCTTTGCACATTAAAGGATTAGATAATTTTTTTAAGGTAGGCAAATACTTAAGACGTAATCTGTTTTCAAGCACTTCGGAAGAATCATTTTAATGATCAACAGTTAATATACTAATACAAATTATTTTTACCTAGTCATTAGCAATTTGGCCAGAACATATTGGGGGCAAATAATTAAGTCAACCTGAATAAAATAACCAAACTGCGTCTCTCTTAACATATTCCATTACTGGGGTACCTGGGTGGTTCAGTTGGTTAAATGACCCATTCCTGATTTCAACTCAGGTTGTGATCTCGGGATTTTGAGTTGGAGACCTACAACAGGCTCTCTGCTGGGTATGGAGCCTGCTGAAGATTCTCTCTCTTTCCCTCTCCCTCCACCCCGCCCCCTCTAAAAAAGTAAATGCATAAATTTTAATCAGTTCGTGCCTACAACATGAAAATGTGAGGGATGATGTAATTAGTTGATCTTAAAATGAACTTAATTTCACTATAAAGAACATTTTATTTTTTAAAAAATATGTATTTATCTATTTGCAAGAGAGGGTAAGTGCATGAGATGGGGGAGGAGTAAAAGGGAGGAGAGAGGAATCAGGAAGGGATCCCAAGCAGACTCTGCGCTGAGTATGGAGGGGCTCAATCTCACGACCCTATGACCTGAGCCAAAACTGAGTCAGATGCTCAACCAACTGAGCCACCCAGGTGACCCCATAAAGAATATTTTAAAGAACAAGAATTGCTAACTATAAAAACATGAACATAATATGTGACTACCATCAAAAGTGTAGAGAAACATTGTAATCAAAGAGTATTTAGTCAAGGGGTAACTGGGCTCAGTTCATAGAGCATGGGATTTTGATCTCGGGGTTGTGAGCTCAAGTCCCATGTTGGGCATAGAGCTTACTAAAAAAGCAAAAGAAAAAGAAAAAGAAGAAAAATGAAAGTATTTATTAAAAAAGTATCTTTAATTGATTATTCTTTATTTTGCCCACAATTTTTTAAGCACTGTAAATGGAACAAAAACATAGGTAGGTTTTAACTTTTGTAAGTCTGATGAAGCTTATAAATTCTTTCTCAAAATAATGTTTTTAAATACATAAAATAAAATATATAGGAATGCAAAGAAAGCCAACTTTATTGAAATACAGTTATTAAAATGTTAAAATATAGGGGTGCTTGGTTAGGTGTCTGCCTTCAGCTCAGGTTATGATCCTGGGGGTCCTGGGATCAAGTGCGGAGTCTGGGTTCCTGCTCAGCGGGGAGCCTGCTTCTCCCTCTCCCTCTGCTTGCCACTCCCCTACTTGTGCTCCCTCTTTCCCTCTTTCCCTCTCTCTCTCTGTCAAAAAAACAAAATCTTTTTAAAAAATGTTAAAATAGGGGCACCTGGGTGGCTCAGTGGGTTAAGCCGCTGCCTTCAGCTTGGGTCATGATCTCAGGGTTCTGGGATGGAGTCCCGCATCAGGCTCTCTGCTCAGCGGGGAGCTTACTTCCCTCTCTCTCTGCCTGCCTCTCTGTCTACTTGTGATCTCTCTCTGTCAAATAAATAAATAAAATCTTTAAAAAATAAGTAAATAAATAAATAAATAAAATATATTTTAAAAAATGTTAAAATATATATCTGTGCCACAGTAATACATATACTTCTTTATAATGAGAATTAATAACCATCTTAAATTTGAAATAGTGATGAGTATAAATGATACTTGACAGATATCTGGAAAAACTATAATGATATATATATATGTAAATATCTGACTTTTGGTGATAAAATTACAAGTATTGCTAATATTGTTTTATGGACTATACTCAGAATTGAAGGAAATGATAACTTTCAGTTAGAGGTTAATGAAAATAAAGCTATAATTTTTTCCCCATACAAATTATCTGAATTCTATCCATGGACTCTGGATCCTAGGGGAAGGACCCTTGAAATAAATAAACAGAGTAGGGAAATATTTAACAAAGATCTTTATTCTATTTCCAACACAAAGGGAAATTTTTAGCAATAAATAATTTCAAACTTATAGAAATAAACAGCTTTTTAAAAAAAGTTTAAAGCAAAAAAGAAAAGAATAAACTTATTCTGGAACCTCTATACAGGGATGGTTTGAAGGAAATAAAAAGGATACTAGCTAGAAAGTACTATAGAAAGTACATATGTGAGGTGATATAAAACCTTGGACAATTTAAGCAGCTGTGAAAAAAGAAAAAGAAACAAGCAAATTTGGGAGTCATTATAGAGTAAAAGTTGACAAATCTTTTTTTTTTTTCAGATTTTATTTATTTATTTGACGGAGAGAGAGAGATCACAAGTAGGCAGAGAGGCAGGCAGAGAGAGAGGGGAGAAGCAGACTCCCCGCTGAGCAGAGAGCCCGACACAGGGCTCGATTCCAGGACCCTGGGATCATGACCTGAGCCGAAGGCAGAGGCTTAACCCACTGAGCCACCCAGGTGCCCCAAGTTGACATATCTTTTAACTGCATAATAAAGGTAAACAAGGATTTAAACATTGCAAAACTAGGAGTCCACTGGACAATGCCACTATGAACATATAAGAAAAATATGAAAGCAGAAACTATTTCCTTGAAAAAAATTATTCTTTTCTTACTGTTCTTAGATGAGAATCTTGATGATGATCAACTCTAAGTTACCAGAGAGATACATCCATCTTTAAAAATGAAAGCAATCCTTAAAGGACATAACTACTCTGGGGCACTTGGATGGCACAGCTGGTTAGGTGTCCTACTTCGTTTTGGCTCAGGTGGTCATCTCTAGGTTGTTATCTCAGGGTCATGAGATTGCCTGCCTCAGGCACTCAGCACAGAGTCTGCTTAAGAGTCTCTCCCTCCATCCCTCCCCTACCCTCACACTCTCTCTCAAATAAATAAATAAATATTTAAGGAAAAAAAAGAAAATGACTCAAGATGAATCAGTGTATCTTTGTTGATGCCTGCCCCCCTACCAAACCTTTAATTTGTTCTCCAACCAAGACCCCGAAGTGTTCATTCACAAATATAAATTTGATAATATCTTTCCCAATTGTAAGCATTCAATAGCTCCCATTACACCTAAAGTAAAACGCAAATTCCTTAACATTGACTATTAAATTCTGCATATCCCGGCTCTCCTATTTTATCTGGAGTCAGTTTTCCTCATTTGCTATGCGCTAATCCATACTGGCCTTCCTCCAGTTTTTGAAGCACTTCTTATATTAGGACCTAGTTTTCCAGCCACACTCTTCCAATAATTTCCACTCATCATTGTGGTTGTAACTCAAATGTCATTTCCTTACAGAGGCCTTCCATGAACCACCTTCTCATGTAAATTGTTTCTTTTCCTTTGACTATCATTGAATCCAGTACTTTTCTTTCAAACCTTGTATCAAATTATAACTATATATGTTATTTATATACTTATTTGTATAACATCTCTCTTCTTCATTAGATCATCGGCTGAACTAGGGCAGAAAACATGACTCTTGTTTACTTACCACTTTGTACTTAGAACATAGAACAGTGCCTGCCTGAAAGTAGTCTGTCACTATTTATTGAAAGGAGAAAATACACGAGTGATGGATAAATGCGAATGAATGACCAGCACATTGTAAGAGTTCGAAGTAAAACTATGTCCTAATAGTTCTTTCATAGTAATAGAAATCTAACACTTGTAGAAACTTTTAAAATGTCTATTAAAATTTAAAGGAAACTATTATTCAAAACTTTCTTTTCCTGCTTCCCTCTCTTTCCCACACCTCCTAGGCCTATACTTTGATCTGGATTTTGCTCTGCTTCTTTTCTACTTCATTGAGATAAAGATAATTAATGAGATTGCCTTAATAAAAGAGATAAAGATAATGAATGAGATTGCCTTAATAAAACAGTAAGCTAAAATTTTATAATATTCAGGTAGCTATCAGTTCTTGAGATTATTTACTTGTTTAATTTTTTTTTAGTACAGTTAATATATTCACATGGCTCAAAAATTAAAAAGGATTGCAGGGGAGGAAAAAAAATATTTTTCCTACTACCCTCCTAGATTCTGTCACTGGAGCCATGTAAATTGGACTGACAAAGGGTAGATTAACAATAGAAAAGCATACATATTTAATATAAGTTTTACATGACACAGGAGCCTTCATAAGGAAATGAAGACCAGAGGGAATAAACTTAACTGTTTTTATACTACATTTGATGAAGAATGGAAAGTCCTGGGGATGCCTGGGTGGCTCAGTCAGTTAAGCATCTGCCTTTGGCTCAGGTCATGATTGAAGGGTCCTGGGATCAAGTCCCACATCAGACTGCTTGTTCGGCAGGGAGCCTGCTTAGCCCTCTGCCTGCTGCTCCCCCTGCTTATTTTTTCTCTCTCTCTCTGGCAAATAAATAAATAAAATCTTCAAAAAAAATTTTCTGGAAAAATGTGATAGGACAGAAGGGTATAAGCTAAAGGTACCAAGCAGCAGGAATCTTACTAAGTCCTGTTTATTTGGATTTCTCTTGGCACCACTTTGTCTATGGAGATAAGGATTGTTTCTTTCCTTTAGGTACAAGGAGAGCACCTCTCACATGAGGGCCTTATGACATGCTTCATAGGAAAAGAAGGAAGTCAAAGATAGCACTTAAGCACTATCCATTTTAGACAGTAAAATTAAAAAAAAAAAAAAAGGCAGGGTGCCTGGGTAACTCAGTTGGTTAAGCATCTCCTTTTGGCTCAGGTGATGATCTTTGGGCTTATGTCATGATCACAGGATCCTGGGATCGAGCTCCACGTTGGGGTCCCTGCAGTGGAGAGTGTACTTCTCTCTCTCCCTCTGTTGCTCCGCCTGCTTATGCTGTCTGTCAAATAAATAAATAAAATCTTGAAGAAAAAAAAAGAAACCTATTTTTTATAGTGGAAAATAAAGGCACAGCCATGCAAAAACATAAAAAAAAATGCAAAAACATGGTACTAAACAGTCCACGAAAAGGACACTTGTTTGCAATAGGAGAGCTGAAACAAGAAGGCTGAACATCATCTTGTTCAATTTTGGCTGGGAATATGTATGTAGAGAGATGCAAATTTTTTTTGCCACTCTGCACATGTCTGCAAATGAATTTAAAAGTGCTATATTGCATTGCTTTTTTTTTTTTTTTGGTCTCCGTTTATTTGACAGATTGGCAACTTGTAAATATGTCACTTTTTATAATTGGGCTGCCAGAACTACAAGCTGGCTCACGTAAATGACTGCTCTAATAGTTACCTACTGGCATTTTCTTTCAGATATGTGTTGACTTATTAGCCCAGAATTCTAGTGTGTCCTCATGATATTGGGGGATTCCATGTAGTCCAGTAGAAGAGCTCCATTCCATGGATTTACTTTGTTGTGGTTTCCTTGAATTGCTTTTTAATTTGGAGTTTACAAATTAATTTTAGTTACTGAGCAGATTCACTTCTATGAAGGCTGTGAGTAATGAAGATTGACTATATAAAACACTGAAAAATTTCTATCTGTCTCCTTTCCCCTAAAGGCTTAGATCTTTCCTCTTGAGAAGTAACCACTATTATGAGTTATGAGTGTCTTTCTAGAATTTATTATGCATATACAGGTAACTTAAATATGCATGTATATTACTTTTTTTTTATCATTAATTTGAAGGGGTCCAGACTATGCCCCAGTATCATAAGGATTATTTTGAAGTGAAGAAATTTGCAAATCAATGACTATATGAAGAGGCTTTTTTCCATTCCTTTTTCTTGAAAGCAAAGCTTCCCAAAAGAATTCAATTGTCCTGAATCCCCTCCCAAAGAGTTTTACAAAGACAAGAAGTCAGCACAAGTCAGCACCTGGATAAGAAATCACCTAAAGAGACATTGTCATAAAACTATCACATATCCCACCTATTCTCCTAATGGCGCATTCATTTTTCCTATAAGTCATATGTTCTCTCATAACTTTCCCTCTGCTCCTCTGCCATCCCCTATTAAGATGGCATATAAACTCCAAAATCTAACCACATCCTTGAGTCACATTTCTTTGTGAACTCCTGTGCATATATACATACTTAAATTTGTTTTTCCCTCTTGCTAATTTGTCTGTCCTTCATTTAAATTGCAGGCCCCCAAGTACAAAATCTGAAAAGATACAGGAAAAGATTTTCCTCCTCAACAATTTCAAAGAGCAAATGATAAATTGTACAAACACTGATCCACAGTATATATATGTGTGTATTTGGGTAGTGTTATATAACCAAGAATTTGCCGATTTCTAGACAGCAAAAATGTTATATTCTCTACAGTAAGTACCTCGTAGCTGTTATCAACAATTCAGAGGCACATTCAGAATGGTACTGTGATTAACACTATGCATAACTGAACTGTTTGTTTTACAGTGAGTATCTGTAAAAGCTTAACATCCCATTCTCTTAACCAACTATTTTTTTTTTTTAAAGAGTTTATGTCACAGAGAGAGAGAGAGAGCGAGAGAGAGCTCACACACAAGCAGGGGGAGCGGCAGGCAGAGGAAAAAGCTGAACAAGGAGCCTGATACAGGACTAGATCCCAGGACCCTGGGATCATGACCTAAGCCAAAGACAGATGCTTAACTGACTAAGCCACCCAGGCATCCCTTAACCAATTATTTTTAAAATCAGTAACACTTTTAAATACTTTTAGCTGTTTCTTTTAGTATTTACCTTCAGGTTTCTAGTATTGCTCTTTTTAATGGTATCTACTTACTATTATGGTAATCGATGTTTTGGATGTCTTGCATCAACACCACCCATTTCTCCACTCTCATCCTCAAAATATAGTCAGTGATACAGTTAGTTAAATCAGTAGTTACTGATTGTATTGAAGGAGTTCAGAACACAGCACCCAAAGAATGCTGGTTTAGCATACTGACTATTTTGAGTTAAAAGCACTTGAAAAATAGCAGCTGTGAGGAGGACATTCTGATTCTCCTTTCTTTTCTTAAAAGCAGGAGATAAAATTCCCATGTGAAAAATATCCTCCCTATATCAGAAAGAAAGAGAAATTCTCATCACCAAGGGCATGAGGCCAAGGCCAAGATAAATCTATACAAACCAACCTTGTTAATCTAACCCCTATCTTTCTAGTTACTTCACTCATATAACTGCTCCAGCCCAAGCCCTTCGCCTAGTCATATTTTCACAATTTACTATTCTTTGTCCAACTCAGTATATAAGCATTCAGCTCTGCTTCCTTGGGTCTTAACTTTTCTTCTGAAAACTCCCAGGTGCAAAGATATAATTAAAGAAGATATAATTAAAATTTGTATGTTTTCTCCTATTAATCTGGTTTTTTTTTTGTCAGTTAAATTCATAGGTCCAGTCAGAGACCCTAAGAAAATAGAAATTATTCATCCCCTAGAGCATTATTCTGATTCTGTGATTCTAGATAAGCTATTTACTTTTTCACTTTTTTTTTCTATAGTTGTTAATAACTCAAAAGTAAATTTAATACGAAGTACCAAGTCATAAACCTAACATGTCATTATTGTGGTGTCATGGCTCCGCCTCTGGCAAGGCTGAAATTGGTTTTGGTATCAGGAAACCAAGTTTACCTGAAACGGTTTCCTCATCTCTAAAAATCGGAGAAATACTTGTGTTTTCCTCCTAAGATAAAGGTCTTAGAAGAACCAAAGTAGGAATAAGATAGAAGAATAAGTGAATTTTGAAAGCAGCTTGTGAACTTCAGGCATGAGAGAACTATAAAACAAAATGATTATTAGACCAGGAGATTTTCACAGTTTTTGACAGAAAAAAAGGTTCTCTTGATTGACACTGGGCAAATCTTTTCTTACTGGGGTGGCTGTTTTCTAACTGGTTATGCAGACATATCGAAGTTAATAAATAATTATGTTTACACTGCTAACACAACTTATTCGGACATAAAACAATTTGTAAACAGCTTGTACTCTTCAGCAATCTCCAACTACAGACCAGCTCTGATTTTATTATTGTTTCTAAATGAGATATTAACTACCCTCGAAGCTCTCCACTGTCCCCACAGACAGCAAAGTAGAAATATCTAAGTAGAGACTGCCAGAGCACCTGGTTTCCTGAAGACACAGGAGACTAAGGTGGGAATGGAATGCATTTGTGGCAGATACAATAAGAAAATCATAGAAAACAATCAGAAATTAACAGGGTTAATTAAACGGCGGTTGAGAACACGTTAGTCACCATAGGAAAGCTAAGTATTTTGGAAAGGCTTGGCACATGCCGTTACTTAAGCTTTGCCTACTGGCAATCTGGCATTTCTCTGACGGAGACTGGCTCTTCAGCCTCTCGGGATTCCCAGAGCACCTTGCGCGGCTCTTGGCGGGAAAACGCCTGGAGGTCACAAGGCTGCTGCCGCGCCTGTGAGGGCGACGGTTGAGGGGAGACGCCTGCGCATCCCACAGAGCGCGTGCTGCGTGGTGCAGGTTTCGTGGTCGCTGGTGCCAGTCCTCAGACGTTCCGTAACGTATATGTTTGTTTGCTTGTTTGTTTGTTTTCTTTCGTGTTTGTTTTTGTTTTTTGCCTTTTAATCTCTTTTTCTGAAACCTCCCAACTACTTTTAAGTTCCTTAAAGTCTTAATGGTGAAACATGGCGCGGGGGGTGGGGGTGGGGTGTGGAATGTAGACCCACTTACTCCTCACGAGAGGTTCTTGAGACGAGGTTAACTCTGGCGTCTCGTCCAGGTTTCGTCAGGATCAGTTAAAACAGTAAATTGTCTCTTCTGGGACCTCTTCCAGTTGAATTTTCTGATTAAGAAAAGTGAAACTGGGGACCAAAAAATTGAAACTTAGTGAAAACATCAGTCATAATTGAGAAATCGGAATCAGCCAAAATCTGGAATATTTTCTGTTCCTCTTTTGCGGTTGTTCCACAGAGTAGGACAGTATGTTATTATACTGAGAACCATGCTTAAGTTCAGTAAAGGATCTTTACCTGATTCGGTCCTTTTGAAACTACAAATATAAAACAAAAATTTCAGGATTTCTTTTTCCGTTTTCTTTCTTTTTTTTTTTTTTTAAGACTTTTTTTGGTATTATTCATTTGAGAGAAATAACGCAGGAGAGAGCACACAGGAGAGCGGAGAGTGGAGAGCAGGAGCAGAGAAGGGAGGAGGGGGAAGGAGAAGGGAGCAGGGAGCTAGAGGAAACAGGGGCTCCTCAGGATCCTGACCGGAGCCTGAGTTGAAGACAGACAGTTGAAGACAAGACAGTTAACGGACTGAGCTACCCAGGCGTCCCCACCGTTGTTTGTTTGTTTGTTTGTTTTATTTTTGTTTTTTGTTTTTTTTTTAGGTATACATATATGAAAGATCTTTATTATAAGGAATTAGTCACACAATTAAAAGGCCCAAGATCTGCAGTTATCAAACTGGAGACCCAAGAAAGAGTTAAAGTTTCAATTTAAGTCCAAAGGCGGGAAAAGACAGATGTCCCAGCATAGCAGACAGGCAGGAGGAGTTCCTTCTTACTCAGGCTTTGTGTTTCATTCAGGTCTTCAGTGAGGCCTGTTAACCCTAGGGAGGGCAATCTGCTTTGCTCAGTCCTGCAACTCAAATGTTGATCTCATCCACAACACCCTCACAGACACACCCAGAACAAAAAACTTAAGATTACTTTAAAGAGTTTGGCAAGGGTAGTTTTCATTACTTAATACCTACCTAACTGTAACCATGTAGTCAATGCTTGAATACATTGATTTGTTTATGTAAAATTTATTTACATGAAATTATTCACATAAAAAAGTCTGACTTTACATGTAATAAGCTAGAATGTTAGGGATAAAAATAAAATCTGAAGTTAAAGCTTTTATTTGTGTCATAAGGTTGAATTAAAGGAAAAACTTTATCCGAAGATGGCCACTGCACAATTGCAAAGAACTTCCATGGTATGATTTTGTATACTTTAATATATGTTAATTTAGCTAATTTTATTGTTTATTGAAGTCTCAATTATTTTTATATTCTAAAGTTAGAATCAACTGTTTGAGGGTTTAATGAGATCAGGAAATTCTCTATTTTAAGAACTGAAGATATTTACTAAACTCTTTATAGAGTCAATGGAGAATTATAGTAGATATTTGATGCAGTGAATTAAATAATTGGTTCATATTCAATTTAGTTGAGGTGAATAAATGCTATTCTCTTGCTTTGATGAAATTATCATTCTTAGCAGTCCATTCCTACAATTGATCTTAGCCAAAAGGCCAAGAAGCAATTTAGCAGTCCATTCCTAGGAAATGAATGTACATGCTTCACAAAGATAAAATTCTCGTTGTTGCACAGTTCTTGTGTTATAGTTACCTGTGTCAAACCTAGTTGGCAACTAAAGAGAAAAGAAGTGTTATCTATCATGTGCTTGCAGCCAACTGCAGGAGGATTTTTGACATGATTTTTAACTACTTTTTGCATTTTACCTTTAAGTGGCAACCCTGGAATTACCCTCACATCTTAGAAGCCACCCTGACTTTCTGGGGTTTACTAACCACTATGGCTAGGATTTTTTTTTTTTTTTAATTGTTAGAATTCTTTGGGAAAGTATCATGCTTATGCAAAATTAGATCTACTCAAAGTTCAGGAAGATGTTATTTTTAATAAATCTAAATGGTATGTTTAAATTTTCCTTGAATTTAGAGTGCATTGGTGTTTCCCAATAAGATATCAACAGAGCAACAGTCTTTAGTGTTAGTGAAGAGGCTCCTAGCAGTTTCAGTATCCTGTATCACATATTTGAGAGGAATATTTCCTGAATGTGCTTATGGAACAAGATACCTAGATGGTAATGTCATGTTTATATTTTGTTTGTTTCAATTTTTTAGATGTAATGTTTATTTTAAAACTTTCTTTGAATGTGCCTGGGTGGCTCAGTGGGTTAAAGTGTCCGACTCTTGATTTCAGCTCAGGTCTCAATCTCAGGGTCATGAGTTCAAGCCTGTGTTGGGTTCCCTGCTAAGTGTGGGAGCCTATTTTTAAAAACCATGCATACACAAAACTCTTTCTTTAAATGTGTTTTTATTTTGGCTTGCTTTAAAACTGTAATATTTTTGACCCAGCAATTGTATTACTAGGTATCTACCCCAAAGATACAAATGTAGTGATCCAAAGGGGCACCTGAACCCCAGTGTTTATAGCAGAAATATCCTCAATAACCACTATGGAAAGAACCCCAATGTCCCTTGACAGATAAATGATATATTTAAATTTTCCTTGAATTTAGAGTGCATTGGTGTTTCCAATAAGATATCAACAGAGCAACAGTCTTTACACACACACACACACACACACACAGTAGAAACTACTCAGCCATCAAAAAATGAAATCTTAAAAAAAAATGAAATCTTGCCATTTGCAACAGCATGGATGGAACTAGAGGGTATTATGTGAAGTGAAATAAGTCAATCAGAAAAAGACAATTTCATATGAACTCATTCATGTGGAATTTAAAAAACAAAATGAGGATCGCCTGGGTGGCTCAATGGGTTAAAGCCTCTGCCTTCAGCTCAGGTCATGATCCCAGGGTCCTGGGATCAAGCCCCGTATCAGGCTCTCTGCTCAGCTCGAGCCTGCTTCCCCCTCTCTCTGTCTCTGCCTGCCTCTCTGCCTACTTGTGATCTCTGTCTGTCAAATAAATAAACAAAATATTTTTTTTAAAAAAATGAGATCAAAGGGGAAGAGAGGGAAAAATAAGACAAAATCAGAGAGGGAAACAAAACATAAGACTCTTAAATAGGAAACAAACTGAGGGTTGCTGAGGTTGTTGGGGAGTGGGGTAACTGGGTGATGGACATTGAGGAGAACACACTGTGATGTAATGAGCACTGGGTATTATATGAGACTGATTAATCACTGAACTCTACCTCTGAAACTAATAATATTTATGTTAATCAACTTTAAATAAAGTAAGAAAAAATAATAGATAAAACTAATTTTTACTTAGAGATTTTCTAATAATAGCTTTATTAAGCTATGATTCACATACCTGACAATCATGCATTTAAAGTGCACAGTTGAATGATTTTTAGTGTATTCAAATTGGTGTGCAATCATTACCGCAGTCAATTTTAGAACATTTCATTAACCCATAAGGTAACTCCATAACCAACTAAATGGCTCTCCACTTCCCCTACCTCCCCAGTCCTAGGCATCCACCAATCTCTCTATCTCTATGAATTTGCCTATTTTGGATATTTCATGTAAATGGAATCATAAAATATGTAGTCCTTTGTGATCAGCTTCTCTCACCTAATGTTTTTAAGGTTATTGATATGGTAATGTGAATTAGTACTTCATTCTCTTTTATTGCTGAATAATATTCCATTATATGGATATACCACATTTCATTTATTCATTCATCAGTTGAAGAACCTTTGTTTCAGTTGTTTCCACTTTTTGGCTATTTATATTTTTTCTTTTTCTTTTTCTTTTCTTTTCTTTCTTTTTTTTTTTTTTTTAATTTGAGAGAGAGCACCCATGAGCAGGAGCGGGGAGGGGCATAGGGAGAGAATCTCAAGCAGACTCCACACTGAGCTTGGGGCCAGACATGGAGCTCGATTTCACAACCTTGAGATCATGACCTGAGCCAAAATTAGAGTCAGACGCTGAACCAGCTGAGCCACCCAGTAATTTTGGCTATTATAAATAATGTCACATTCATGTACAAGTTTTTGTGTGGGTTAAGTGGTTTTTAAGAAGTATATTCAAGGGGTGCCTGGGTGGTGTGGTCGGTTCAGCATCCAACTCTTAAGTCTCAGTTCAGGTCTGGTATCAGGGTCATGAGATTGTTCCCACTAGGGGCTTAGCAATCAGCAGAGTCTGCTTGAATTTCTCTCCCTCTGCCCCTCCCCCTGTACACTCACTCTCTCTCTCACTGAAATAAATATTTTTTAAGTATATTTAATATCTTTGGACGCACTTAATCGTAATATTTTTTCCTCAGTTTCTCAAATTTAATTTTATCTGACATTACTCTTATAATGACGAATAGGTAGATAAAAGTATACTATTATTAATAGCTTTGTACAGTGGTAGTTAGTATATGTTGTGTTATTTTAAGGAAGTAAAAATAATATAGTCTATTTATACTACAGTAATCATTCATTACCCAGGGCATAGTATGTACCTAATTCTGAGTGCTAACTATGTGCTGGGCAATATGTGAAGTGCTATGTTATGTATTATATCTTGTTAATTCATATTATAGGCCTATGAGTTAGACATTATCCCTATTTTTCAGATAAGGAACCTGAGACAGAAATCTCAGTACTTTCCATTGTATTACCTGTTGCTTTCCTGCAAGTCTCTATCTCTGGTAGCTAAATTCTTGGTCTTTTGCCAGTTAAATTCTTGGTCTTTTGCAAGTATTTAATTGGGATAAGGGCCTGCAAATACTAAGACTCTTGGATAATGATGGTGTGAAAGCATTATATCTGACTTTAAATATTTTATAACTTTTAAGAATTTTTTTTCTACCCATTAACATGTATCCTAGTCATTATGGTGTCATTTTATAATAAGGAAAAAAATATTCTTTGTTTCCATAAAACGTTTCTTCTTTTAAATTATATTAATATCAATCATCTGGAAGTTCATTGCTATTTAATAATATAATATACCTCTAATACACAGCTGAAGAAAATAATCTTCAGTTAAATTTCTAGTTGTTTACTAATCTTAAGCAACTCTATATTTATATAATTTTGGTGTTTAGATCTTTGTGTCAAAATTCTGAGAGAAGATAAAAACTGTCCAGGATCTACACAGTTAGTGAAGTGGTAAGTAAAAGAATACCTAATGATATTAAATTATTTTTTTTCTTAAATCACATTCTTTTTTTATACCTTGGATATCTTTCAGTGTTTAACCTAATTTTAGTAATTCCCTTTTCAATACTAGATACCATTTTTGCAGGTCTTTGGATTTTTGCCTTAAAATTTTCCTTTATTTTATGCTCCATGTGAACAGAATTCATTTTCCTATTAGTGTTCCCAAGTAGCTGTCAGATATTTTACCTCCTATCCCAAACCATCCTCTATCAACATTTTATATTTCTGCCACTATTTGTTTTGTTTTATTATTTTAAGCTGGTTAATAAAAAGGGAACTTTAGGGAGACCAGCTGGCTCAGTCATTAGAACATGTGGCTCTTGATCTCAGGGTTGTAAATTTGAGCCCCACACTGGGTGTAGAGATTGCTTAAAAGAAAAAATCTTATTAAAAAAAGAATAACAAGAAAATTTATGTTAGTAATAACATGGAAACTTATTAAAAGAATTAAAAGAATTCTTTTCTGGAAGTGCATTCAGTCTAAAAATGAATCCTTTGTTATTTTTTAGGATGCTAGGATGCTATGATGCTTTGCAAAAAAAATACGTAAGTCAGCATCTCCTTATCTTTCCTCCTACAGTTTATACTCCACAAATGTAACAGCAGTTACCGCAAAGTAAAACTTTAATTTAAACTAACTTGTGCATAGGACAGTCCAAATTACTCAAAAGTTTGAACATTTGAACATTTTAAAGACTAATATTCAACTCATTTTAAACCAATAGAGTTAATACTTAACAAATTTGCCAAGCCAGTTTTAATTGTTAACATGTATTTGTTTTAGTAATGCATATTAACTTACAAAAACTTAATGAATTAAAATAATTCATTTATTAGTTTCACATGCCTCCTACAATTTTGTTTATACTAATAATTTAATAAATTATTTCTTCGTGAGAGTTCAAAAATAAATTTCTGTGTAATCTAGGTTAAATTGTCACAAATTCTAAATAAGGAAATTCCAATTAAAAAGTGTTTACTGTAGACTATTAGCGTGTTTATATCAGCACATATAAAAAAGTCAAGCTCTAAACAAAATTGTAAAAAAGTAAATTTTATCCCTGGTCACTAACCTCCCTTATTAAAGCATTAAATATTTAATACTAATTAAATATTGAGTGACTGCTGTGTGCTAGACACATATTCCAGGTGGTCAATGAGACAAAGAGGATCTCTTCTGTAGTGGGAAAACAGTCAATAAAACAAGTAATTCAGGTAATTTCCAATTGTGTTAAAGGCCAATAAAATATTGAAGGAAAGTGTGTTGCAGGTGGAGAGGTGGGGTAACTTTAAATAGGGTGGTCCTGAGTAGGTGACATTTAAGCTGAAACTTGAATGAGAAGAAACCAGCCAGGCATTGACTTTGGGAGAGAATATTCCTGACAGAACACGAATACAAAGAGTTGAAGGGGGAGTTGAGAGAGTTCAAGGAACAAAGAGGAACAGTGTGAATGGGATTAGAATGCAATGAGTAGTAAGGGAGGGAGAATAGTTTTAGAGGAGCCTGAGGAGATAGGCAGGGCCAGAGCATTCAGAAGTGTGTATAGGTAAGGAGTTTGGATTTTATTTTAAGTTCAAATAAAAAACATTTGAAAGTTTCAAATAGAAATGTAACATCATTTGATTTATATTTTAAATTAAAAATCACTCCAGCTGCTGTTAAGGCAATATAGAGTGGAAGAAGAATAAGATTGGAATCAAGGAGAATGGTGCTTAATCTGTTAATGTGGTACTGGTGAAAAATCACCAGCGCTTAGACTAGCATGGCAGAGAAGGAAAGAAATGAAAAGTTTCAGGATATATTTGGCAGTAGAACTGATTAGACTTGATAGATTGGCTGTAAAGTGTAAGGAAAAGATCCAAATCAAGGATGACTCAGATTTTTGGCAGATTAGTTGAGTGGATTATTTCCTGTGATTCTCTATTCGAATGGTCTCCAAAGCCTCTTCCCTTTATCAAAGGAGCAGAGTCCTGGGGCACCTGGGTGGCTCAGTGGGTTAAAGCCTCTGCCTTCAGCTCAAGTTGTGATCTCGGGTCCTGGGATTGAGCCCCACATTTGGCTCTCTGCTCAGCAGGGAGTCTACTGCCCCTAACACACTGCCTGCCTCTCTGCCTACTTGTGATCTCTGTCAAATAAATAAATAAAATCTTAAAAAAAAAAAAAAAAGGAGCAGAATCCTGAACTCTGCTTTCTCTTTTCAAGATCAGTTCTTACATTGTAAGGGTTTGATGTTATTTCACAATATATATTTTCCTTGTAACTGGCAGAAATGCATGTATTTTCTTATGTCAGTGACATGAATGTCAACCTTCAGTAAGTCAACTAGAAATAGATATTTGGGGGAATAAGGAAGGACATCCAAGGTTTTGCTTTATATAAATCATATTTTCTGCAAGATTATTTCTTAGTAGGAATAAATGTTGAAATAGGACAAAGAATTCTTGTGATTCATCAAGAAAAAATATTTCATAGAATAAAAGTAAGATTTTTGTTCTTTTATTTCAGCTAAGGATGGTTGTTCTAGCTGTAAGTATTTTTAAATTGTATGTTCTTAAAGACTGTCCTTGCTTATTTAAATAACACTAAAACCAGCAATTGATGTGTCACTTTATTCAAACAAATGATCTATTTATTGGAAAAAAGTAACAAATTAATATTTTGGGCGGTCATTTTGTATTTTGTTTTGCTGAATCCATTTAATAGTTTAGTCTAAATATCCAATTTAGTTCTCCTTGAATACTTAGACTTATATAACTCAATTGTAAATTATTTTTAAATAGGTATACACCAATCCAGAAGACCCTCAGGTAGGTATGCTTAAGTTAGTAAAGAAACATAATATCTCTAATATCTAAAAATAACATAAATTACAATAATATCTTATGTTTTTATTTTTTCCTTTTAATTTTTTTATCTTGTGCTTTTAATGATATTCACTCTCACATGTATTTTCACATTTGAACCTCATAAAGTCTTTTTTGAGGTAAGACAATATTTGTATTGTTATCTTTAAACAGATTAATATGCTTGCTACCAAAGAGATTGGGTGACTGATCCTGGGCCATAAATCCAAAACCCCTTAGAAATAACCTAAGTCTCCTAACTTATGCTTTTATGTAACATTCTTTTTATAAAATTATGAAAGGGGTTGAGTTTGACAAAAATGAGATACTTATCCTTGAACTTTGAATATTCATCCAATCCTGTCACATCCACTTGTTCATCTGACAATTAAAGAAGGGATTGCTACCATTATCATCTTCACTTATAGGTAAGGAAACCTAGATACAAGGTTTCTTGTGTAAGGTCACAGTGGCAGAACCAGAATTTGGACCTAAGAAGGCCAGCCCATGATCTTGGTGCTTTAAAACATTGCACTATTGTTATTATAATATATTCATTCAGTCATGGAGAAGCAGATTTTTTTAAGAGAGAGAGAGCTGATTCCCCTTCCTGTGAGAGCACTGATATGTAAAGAAAGCATGTGTGTCCATGGTGACAAAGAAAATCTCAAGAGCTGTGAATTAGTTGATTGTTCAGAAGCTAACTAATTGTTCAGAAAATATTCTTTTAGTTTCAGATGTTTTATATAGTTCAACATTTTTTCTTACAAGAGCAGTTTGCTGATTCACTAATATTTATTGATTGTTTGGTGTGCCAGGCACTTTTATTAAGGGCTCTATATAAATTATCCTATTTGCTAAAAATTCGCAACCACCAATTACATAGGTACTATTTTCAGGCCCTATTATTAGCTGGGGAAACTAAAACCTAGAAGGCTTAAATAACTTGCTTCTGGTTACATATAGCAAGGATTTTAAGTCCTGTGCTTAAAGCCATTCTGCTTGAGTAAGAGATAATACTGCCCCTCTTACCTGCCTCCTAAGGAGTTCCTTCCCTCTGGGATATATAATATACATTGCAATTAGTGGGAGAATATATATCTCTCTTGAGACTGAAGCCCCAAATCCCAAATCATGGAAATTTACTATTAGGACTTGAAAGTTTCAGTTGACCATTAAGGATTAACATTGCAGAAAAAAACTATTAAACCAACGTTAAGAGTCATACATAAGCTGTATTTAGTTACTTGGCCACCAGCACTGTATATCAAATACATAACTGTAATGTTTTCTATTTAAGACAATTTCAGAATGTTATCAATTTAAATTCAAGTACACTAGTAATGGACCAATCATGGACTTCATAAGGTATTTTATCATTTCCTTTTTGTAATACAGATTACCACTTATTTATATTAATACTATATTGCTAAATTTCAAGATTAATTCTGAAACTTCTCAAACATCCTCAATTAACCATTGAGGTGTGGCTGTACAAAATATCTTTTGAGCAGCTGCAAGCCCAGATTGTGTGGCTAATTATATACTATTTTAATTGTGAAACAGAGCCAAAGAGTAAGAAAGCTATTGTATGCTTGAGTGATTAGAAATGTAATTAAAGTCCTTCACTCATTTCCTTTAAACATCTGATATAAAATGCATATTAATGTAAATAAAATTATTAGTTTATAACATTATTAATAATGATATTAGTGATATTAAATTTTAATAATAGTGACATTAAAACACACTTTATGGTGACTTTCAACTTAAAAACTTAATGATATAATAGGAATAAGAATCTCAAATAGTATGATGTAAAGTTGTTATTAGAAGCCATGGGTGTCATAAAAGAAATTAATGTGTGATTCTCTTATAGTAAAAACCAAAACAGTGAATCTAGTATGTCATCTGCTGACACCAAGAAAGCAAGTATTCTCCTGATTCGCAAGATTTATATTCTAATGCAAAATCTGGGACCTTTACCTAATGATGTTTGTTTGACCATGAAACTTTTCTACTACGATGAAGGTACCACTTATAATACATTCTGTTGTTACATATATGTTTTATTATTGAAACAATTAGTTTCCATCCTAAATGATTTTCTTTTTTTTTTTTTTAAAGATTTTATTTATTTATTTGACAGCGAGATCACAAGTAAGCAGAGAGGCAGGCAGAGAGAGAGAGAGGAGAAGCAGGCTCCCCACTGAGCAGAGAACCCGATGTGGGGCTCGATCCCAGGACCCTGAGATCATGACCTGAGCCGAAGGCAGAGGCTTTAGCCCACTGAGCCACCCAGGCGCCCCCCTAAATGATTTTCTTAAAGATTTTTATTTATTTATTTGACAGAGAGAGAGAGAGATCACAAGTAGGCAGAGAGAGAGGGGAAGCAGGCTCCCCGCCGAGCAGAGAGCCCAATGTGGGACTCGATCCCAGGACCCAGAGATCATGACCTACTGAGCCACCCAGGTGCCCCCATCCTAAATGATTTTAAGCACCTCAATCTGTAATATAATTTTTGAAATTATAAAAATTTCATTTAATATCAGCATTTGAAAAAGAAAGATTCAGGAGCGCCTGGGCTACTTAGTTAATCCTGCCTTTGGCTCAGTTCATGATCTCGGGGTCCTGGGATTGAGCCCCACATTGGGCTTTCTGCTTAAGCGAGAAGTCTGCTTCTCCCTTTCCCTCTGTGCCCTTCCATTTGTGTGCTCTCTTTCTCGCTCGCTCTCTCCAATAAATAAATAAAATCTTAAAAAAAGAAAGATTTGGAAAATTAGACTTCCGAATATGCACAAACTTTTCCAGTGATATGAACATATCCATGTGAGGTACAACCTCACTTATAATTAAAGAAATGGAACAATTGAGATGCCACTTTTCAACTTACCAGAGCAGTAAAATTTGTAAACCAATTATTGGCAAGGGTGTGGAAGAAAGTAGGCACTTTTATAATTCTTTTTTTTTTAATGTATTTATTTGACAAAGAGAGATCATAAGCAGGCAGGCAGAGAGAGAGAGAGAGGAGGAAGCAGGCTCCCCTCTGAGCAGGGAGCCCGATGCGGGACTCGATCCCAGGACCCTAAGATCATGACCTGAGCTGAAGGCAGAGGCTTTAACCCACTGAGCCACCCAGGCACCCCCACTTTTATAATTCTTGAGAGAATGTATATAGGTGCAACAATTTTAGAGGACAATTTAGCAGTATCAAAATTTCAGATGCATGTTTTCTTTAATCCAGAAAATCAAAAGTATCTTGGGAATATACTTAACACAAACATGCAATGTTATATGTTTATGAGGATACCATGCAACTTATTAAAAATGTGCTCCTAATTTATCCAAGGAATATTAAAAATGGATTAAAAGGAAAGGTTAAAAACAGCTAGGTAAGTATAGGGCACATAGGTGGGTAAGTCAGTTAAACCTCAGACTCTTGATTTTGGCTCAAGTCATGATCTCAAGAGTTGTGAGATAGAGCCCCCACTTGGGCTTCGCACTCAGCAGCAGTCAGTTTGTCCCTCTTCCTCTGCTTCTCCCCATCCTCAAACCCTCTCCCCGGCACACATGCACGCCCACACACATGCTCTCTCTCTCTCAAATAAATAAAATCTTTAAAAAAAAAACCAGCTAGGTATTGAACAGTATGATCTTATTTGTGTTTTGTTAAGGATTTTACATATATCTGAAATATGTATTTTACATGTGTAGTATCTTCTAGAAGAACATAAAGCAACAACAATAATGACAACTAACATTTATTGACTACTTACATTGTGCCAATTCTGGTCTGAGGATTTAACACACTTTAACTCTAATACCCTACCCAATGGGGTAGGTACTATTATTATCCCCATTTCATAGATGAGAAAACCAAATCAAGGACAATAGATAACTTATTCAAGGTCAATAGTCAAGTGAAAAAAAAGGTTGCCTTTTATACTATTTGAAATGTTTTCAATCTGTATTTATTATTATTATATATTATTATTATTATATATTATATATATAATATATTATATATATATTATATATTATATATATTATTATATATTATATATTATATATTATATTAATTATATATTATTATTATTATGTTCTCTTCAATTTCATGAACATCACAGCTTATACTTACTTTTCGCAGTTACACCCCCAGACTACCAACCTCCTGGTTTTAAGGATGGTGATTGTGAAGGAGTGATATTTGAAGGGGAGCCTATGTACTTAAATGTGGGAGAAGTCCCAACACCTTTTCACACCTTCAAAGTAAAAGTAACTACTGAAAAAGAACGAATGGAAAATATTGATTCAGCTATATTATCACCAAAACAATTAAAAACACCACTTCAAAAAATTCTCATGGACAAAGATGATATAGAAGATGAACAGGAGCATTATATAAGTGTCAGTACATTTTAAAGTTATAAAGTATAATAGTAACAAATGTTTGACTCAATTCTGAAGACTAATAGTTCTCAGTGATATTTGTATAAATACTGTATTTTTTTTTTTAAAGATTTTATTTATTTATTTGACAGAGAGAGAGATCACAAGTAGACGGAGAGGCAGGCAGAGAGAGAGAGAGAGAGAGGGAAGCAGGCTCCCTGCTGAGCAGAGAACCCGATGCGGGACTCGATCCCAGGACCCTGAGATCATGACCTGAGCCGAAGGCAGCGGCTTAACCCACTGAGCCACCCAGGCGTCCCTAAATACTGTATTATAATCATAAATTCAAGGTTGGTAGGGACCTTAAAGAAGGTATCAGCTTTTCATTTAAAAAATTTTTCCCTTGGTGCAAACACTATTCTCAGAAGTTTAAAAGCACAACTATTCTGAATGAAGCAGGGAAAGGTACTGGAGGTCCAGACTCTCATCACCTCAACTACCCTTGTAGTAAACTCTGAGGAAACTCTTTGGTCTGGAGCATAACTACTCCATGAGTACATGAACTACTCTAATTGCCTAACTAATGTTGAAATCCTTTCTACCAATACCCCTATTAGGTGCTCATTTTAGACCTGTGCTTGAACTTTCTTGGGGCCTGCAAAGTCACTGTCCTGAAGCAGCCTGGAAGTTCCCAGAAGGCAGGAAAATTGTGTTTCTTCTTTGTAATCCTCCTGTGCCTACCACATAAGTGTACAGTGTGCATTCTCAATATTGGCTAAATGAATGGATGAATAAAAATATTAAAAAAGTCTTTTTTTTAGTTGTAATTACTCAATCCCAGGAAATCTTTCACATTAACATGATTGTTTCTTAATCTAATCTTTGTTGTTGTTCTGTTACCTCATTTTATTCTAAATTATAATCTCAGTACTTATGTATAGAGTTTTCTTTTTTAATTCAGGCTCTGCCACATCCTAACAAATAAAAAATTCAGTTTTGAACCAGTTTAGTCAAAGAAGAAGTCTTCTCAAAACCTAAATCCCAGTGATGGTTTATAAACAAGTATAGCTGGAATTTATGTAGCATTCTTTAAATATTTAAAGCTTGTTGATGTATGTCACAAAGAGAAAAATAATTATAAAGTAGACATTAAACTTGTTACTATTTCTACCATACTATGACTGATCTTATTCTTTACTAACTCCCTGAAGAGGGTTGGGGCATTTTTTATTCAAGTGTGTGATAACATCTGTAGAAAAATTCTGGAGATATAGAAGTAGTAGTTGTATGAACTTGTCTAATTCATTGCCCTCAAACAATAGTAAAAACTAAGGGTTCTTAGAACCATTATGTATTTTTTGAGAAAATTGTATATTTGTCTCTAAAATGACCCTGCAACGTAAAGTAGTAGTTTATACTTTGTCTGGATAAATATGGCACCTTTTTTTAGTAATTATAGGACTTTATTTCTACCAAGTGTAAGACAGTTGTAGTGGTGTGTTATATTAATCTTCATGTAAAACACATTTGTTCATAAATACTTCTACCCAGTTGTTTTAATTGCTTTTTGGAATGAGTCCATTTTTTTCTTCATGTAATTATGTAGGATGATTTTGACCTTGAGACTAAAATGGAAGAGCAGAAAAAAAACCCCAGATCTTCTGAACTTGGAGGTAAGAAATTAATGAAAATGTAGATTGATTCACTTCCAATACAATTTTATACCATTTTAACTCTTTTTTTTTTTTTAACAGAACCAAATTTAGTTTGTGAGGAAGATGAAATTATGAGGTCTAAAGAAAGTCTAGATCTTTCAATTTCTCATTCTCAGGTACAAATTTGGTAATTCCACTCACTTTTAGCTTTTTTTCTGAAGAATATGTTTATTCAGTTAATTTTCAGGTTTCCTTATTATATTCAAGGTCTTTTAGAAGAAAATTAGGTCTTAAGAATGCTTTTTAACAAAATTTGAAAAGTATATGCTGAGCCATCTGGATGGCTCAGTCATTAGTCGTCTGCCTAATACTCAGGTTATGGTCCCAGGGTCCTGGGATCCAGCCCTAGTAGGGTTCCCTGCTTGGCGGGGTGCCTGTTTCTCCCTCTCCCGTTCCCCTGCTGTATTCCCCTGCTCTCTTGCTATCTCTGTCAAATAAATAAATAAAATCTTTAAAAAAAAAAGTATATGTTGGAAAGTTTTAAGTATATTACTATCAGTTTATTTAGTAATAAACCTAAATACTGTTCATAAAATTTCAGAATTTCAGAGCTAGGTAGAATCTTAAGTAATTATTCCACCACCTTTTGTATTTACAAATGGAGTATATAATACTTTTTGTTGCCTGGAGCAGACATGATTAATTTTGTTTTCCATAGACAATAAAATCTTGATATAACACTTAGATAAAAAGAACTTGAAAATAATGGGACTGATTATTGTCTATGTTCCTCTGCACTTCCCCTTTCTCCAGTGGGAGTGAGCTTAAGTTCTTATCTCTTGGAAGAGTAGTGTAGTGCCTGATGATCATTTGGGATTTTTTTCAGTTCAGTGAATGATCAATCATATACAGTATCAGTTTCACTATCTTTGCCTTTGCACTTTTTGTGACAGTAAGAACTACTTAAAATTAATGGTTTTCATTAACATAATAAGACCCTAGGTTTTAAGTTCCTGAATTTTGGAGCCCCATTATTATGTTATAGAAAGTTTTTATTATGTGATTTTGTGTTATTATTTTCTAGGTTGAACAGTTAGTCTGTAAAACATCCGAACTTGATGTGTCTGAAAGCAAAACAAGAAGTGGAAAAATCTTTCAGAATAAAATGGTAAGTGTACCTTTAGATTTTTTTTTTCCACTCTAACCTTATAACTTTTTCCCACATGTAAGTTTATTTTGCGTCTTAACCCTTCCTTTATAGACGAATATTTGGTAAGTACCTATTATGTGTCAGGTACTTTACTAGGTGCTGGAGATATAACATGAATAACACATAGTTCCTGCTCTTAGCTCAAAGTTTAGTAATTGGAGGTCAACGAACAATGATAGGGGGCCATGACAGCAGTTTGAATAGGCTACATGGAACAAAGGAAAGAATGGTGAATTTTACTGAAAGTACATAAAAGAGGAGAATTCAGGAAAGGCTTTGAGAAATGACACCATCATCCAGATTCCAAGGAGATTGCCTAGAATGCCAAAATATTCTCATGTTTTATCTTGTAAATATAAATTGTCTTGTTAATAAGACATTAAAAATTAATGTTTTGTATATATTTTGCATAAAATGAATCTCATGTTTTTAAGCAAACAACCCACTGGTTTATGTTAGTTTCCTATTTTTGCTAAATGGAAATTTGTATTTTATTTTAGACTTTTAAGTTACTCAAACTTTCCAAGATGAAGAAAAAGCATTCTGTAAAATATTATATCTAAATTTAGGAAACAAACAGCACACTCTAAGAATGGTATAGTGACATTTCTTTCCAACTCCTCATTCAGTGACATCATGTTGGTAGCTTGAAATTGGACATGATGAGAATATTCACAGCGTGGAAGTAAGCAAATGCCTCAACACAGGATTTGTTACTCCTAGAGAACTGGTTGTTAAACATTTACCAGCACACTATTCATTATAGTGCCATTTTTCAGTGTTTTTTTTCCCCACAGTCCTTTTTTTTTTAAGTTTTTATTTATTATTTTCAGTAATCTCTATCCCCAATTGAACTCATGACCCCAAGATCAAGAGTCATATGCTCTTCCAACTGAGCCGGGAGGTCCCTTTTTTCTACATTCTCCATAGGAAGTTTGAACTGGTAGAAGGCAGTATTCAAACTAGTATGCTGATGAAAGCAAGAGATAAAAGAATTTCAAAAATTAGTACAGCTAGCAGCAGAATGGCCTTGTAGGCAGCTTCTATTTAGGATGAGTATCCTTTCTAGGATATGGGGAGAAAAGCAAGAATTAAAAAAAAATTATTAGGAAGGATTTTTCTTGTAATAAGACATTAAGATACTTTGGGGACGTAAACTAATTTCTGAAATTGCCTACGTTTTTGGATATGAACTCTCTGCCACAGTACTCCTGATTTTGAGAATCATGGCTGAATGATAGGAAATGGCAAGAAGTGAAAATATTTAATAGTATGTACACTAAGAAAGTTATTGAAAAGTACATTTTTGACATCAAAAAATAAGCCTGTCCTTTTAGAGAATAGTAATAGACAGCTAATAATGTGTCATCATCCAATATTCATTTTTAAAATTGCATAGATAGCATTATTAACAATAGCCAAAAGGTGGAAGAAACCTAAATATCCATCAATAAACAAATGGATAAACAAATGTAGTATATTTATACCATGGAATATTATTCAGCCACAGAAGGAATGAAGTACTAATGTATGCTTCAACAGGGATAAACCTTGAAAACATGCTAAATGAAAGAAATCAGTCACAAAAGTCTACATATTATATGATCCTACTTATCTGAAAGTCCAGAATAGGGATTTCTATAGAGAGAGAGAAAGTCTTAGAGCTAGTGGGAGAAGGAGGGAATAAAGAAGTAATAAATTCAAAGAACCCAGGTATCTTATCTTAGTAGGAAATAATTACACTAGGTATAATTTTAAAAAGAAAGAAGAGAATGAAGGAAGAAACAAATCAACCAGCCTCAGGTTTCTTTTTGGAGTGATGAAAGTATTCTGAAATGGACTACAATGATGGTTGCACAACTCTGATACTTAAAATTATTGAACTGTAAACTTTTAAATAAATGAATTGTATGGCATCTGAATTATATCTCAGGAAAACCTTTTTTAAAAACTGCATATAGTTGCCTATAGTTTAAAAAAATCAAGTGTTGGTTGTTCTTTGAGAAATAACCAATTAGTAATTATTCCGTCTTTATGGAGGCTAATGGAAATCAACCAGTAAAATCTTCTAAAGAAAATCGGAAGAGAAGTCAACTTGAACGTGGGAGAACAGTAAGTCTTATGATAATATACAGGTTGAATAAAATGGCAAGTATCAGACCATCATTACTATAGATTAAATTTATTTATTTATTTATTTATTTATTTTTAATGTATTTTTTTAGAGAGGGAGAGGGATGAGAAGAGAGAGAGAAAAAATCTAAAGCAGGCTCCATTCCCAGCACAGGGCCTGACTCAATTTCACAACCTTGAGCTCTGACGTGAGCCAAAGTCAAGAGTTGGAATGCTTAATGGACTGAGCCACCCAAGCACCCCTAGATTAAATTTTAAATGATAAATGTGATAATATCCCTGGATATTACCTCAAAGTACTGATATCCAAATCTTGTTTATGTGTAATTGTTTCTAAAAAATTAGGTGATTTTAAAATAAGATGTGTGAGGTTTATTAGTTTTTTCTATGTAAATATTTACTGATCTATGAATGATTTGAAGAAGTTGGAGGAATTTATAAAAAAAAATTAAAATCAGTATGTCCTGAAAAATATGAATAGAATGAGAAAATGAGAGTATAAGACTATTTAGGCCATTTTATTTACATAGAGCTAAAATTGGGCCACAAATTTGATCTCAGCTTCTGAGAGAACAAAAGTGAAGTATAAATAAGTTACCAAATCAACTTGTTCCATAAAAAATAGCATCTTCTCTTAGTACCTTAGGAAGAGAAAGAAAAATTTTCTTTTTAAAAAAAATTTTTTTAATCTTTTTTTCTTTTTTAAGATTTTTTGTTTATTTGACAGACAGAGATCACAAGCAGGCAGCGAGAAGGGGGAAGCAGGCTCCCTGCAGAGCAGAGAGCCCAATGCGGGCTCGATCCTAGGACCCTGGGATCACGACCTGAGCCAAAGGCAGAGGCTTTAACCCACTGAGCCACCCAGGCACCCCAAAAGAAAAATTTTCTTGACCTACATTTTTTAACAGTTGTTTCATATTTGGGACCTTATTTTACCAAATCAGATCTTGTATTTGTCATTTCTGAGATAAATATTTATATTTTTCTTTTTTTTTTTTTTAAGATTTTATTTATTTATTTGACTGAGAGAGAGACAGCGAGAGAGGGAACACAAGCAGAGGGAGTGAAAGAGTGAGAATCAGGCTTCCTGCCTAGGAGGGAGCCCGATGCAGGGCTCAATCCTAGGACCCTGGGATCATGACTGGAGCCTAAGGCAGATGCCTAATGACTGAGCCACCTGGTGCCCCAAATATTTATATTTTCAACTAGAATTTTTAGTATTATTAGTAGGTTAACATTTAGGCAACTGAATAAGACTGCTTTAAAAAAAAAATCAAACGTTAAAGGGGTATTCTCAAAAATATAGTTAATATTTTTTTCAATTTACATAACTCAAAAAGGGAATGAAATAACCTGACACTTCATTAATTTATTGTCTTCCCAGTGTATTAAACTTTGATTTTTTTTTTTAGCAAAATCATCCAATTTGTATCATTAGTGAGTTTTTTTCAGAAAAACCAAAGTTGAGTTACTCAGGAATACTATTAGGGGCACACCTGGGTGGCTCGGTCATCAAGCATCTGCCTTCAGCTCAGGTCATGATCCCAGGGTCCTGTGATCAAGTCCCACATCAGGCTCCCTGCTGGGCAGGGGAATCTGCTTCTCCTTCTCCCACTCCCCCTGCTTGTGTTCCCTCTGTCACTGTACCTCTCTAATAAATTAATAAGATCTTAAAAAAGAAAAAAAATGGGGCGCCTAGGTGGCTCAGTGGGTTAATCCTCTGCCTTCGGCTCAGGTCATGATCTCAGGATTCTGGGATCGAGTCCCTGCTCATCAGGGAGCCAGCTTCCTCCTCTCTCTCTCTCTGCCTGCCTCTCTGCCTACTTGTGATCTCTGTCTGTCAAATAAATAAAGTCTTTAAAAAAAAAAAAAAAAAGGAATACTTTAACGAAGTTTAAGTCAGACACTGCTAAGTACCAGGGTTACAAAAAGAATAATACGTGATTTAAATCTTACATGGTGCCAAGGTACAATATTTCATTATCTGTAGCTCGTTTTAAAATCTTTTTTCCTTCTTATCGCCCCATAATATTTTACTATTTTGAGGACATAATGTTAGATCTATGTTTTTGACTTCTCCAACAACCCGGATAAAGACCTTACACTTTATAAGTATATACTTACAGCAGCCATCAGAAGATACATCAGTAATAAAATTTACCCTACTTTTTAAAGAACGCAGGTGTTCTATCTTAGTAGGAAATAGTAATACTATATATAATTTTAAAAAGAAAGGGAAGGATAGAACAAACAAACCTCAGAGACGTGAAAAAAATCTGAAAGTAAAGACATGTAAGCTGAAAAGTATCCTTAGTAGTTGTTTTCTTTTGACAGGTCCTTCATCACTTTGATTCTTCTAGTCAAGAGTCAGTGCCAAAAAGAAGAAAGTTTAGTGAACCAAAGGAGCATATATAAAAATTAATTTTTTCTTCTGCATGTTTGTGAAGTTCTCAACATTTCAACTACTGGACAATGTATTACTATTTTAACGTGTGTTTGCCATGTGAAAATTTATACATTGTGTTAAGCAGTTAGTACAAAAATAAATTTTTAGCTGTCATATTGTGATCCTTAATCTTATCTGAGACAATGCAAGAGAACTTTTGGATAAAACCAAAAATACCAGTGTCATAACTGATTTGCTCATTATCTACTCAATATTGATCTATCTTCCATTTTGGTAGATACTTCCGTTAAACATATATTAACCTTTAAGGTACTCTAGAGCCAATTTTAAAAACAAATAATGTTCATTTTGTTATTAAATTTTGGTAGGAATTTACTTTTTACTTATGTTAAAACTGTAACACTTAACTAGTTATTTGTCCCTGTGTCATTAAAACAATGTGCTTTGGTGCTTTGATAGAGTGTACTAACATGGTAATATAACATACCATTAAAAATTGGTTATCTTTTTTATCTTTTTTTTTTTTTTTTTTTTTTTACTTCAAGGCAAAATGAGGACTGATTTTTAAGGTCTGGCATTTTGGGCAGCATAAATAAAATATTCTTCAGCATCTAGACTCTTTCATGTCTTCTAATTTTTATTTAATTAGCAGAAAATGTTTGGTTACTGTTTTGAGATCATTTTGGTAAATAATACTTTACAAGAGTTGAGCACACTTCCAAGAACCTTTGAGTGGTAGTGTGAAAGATACTGTGCGTTTAGGGAGAAACCTGAGACCTGGTTTCAGCTTTGATCATTTCCTTTGCCTTAAAAAAGAAAGACTTAAAACTTGGTCTGTTTGCTTCTTGCAGTTTAGCAGCCGCATTATAAAACATAGATTATCCATAGGTTTGCCACTGAGAAGCGCTAATAGAGAAAGTTGGTGTGTGTGTAATGGTAGAAATGTACTTAACCTGTTTAAACCAAATAAACGTCCACAAACTGACCCAGATCAGGTTTTTCTGGAACAGGAAAGTTGAGGACAAGCTAATTTTCGAAAACAACCAATTTTAAATGTTTATTTGTCCTTAGCTTTCTTGGATCCTAGCACATCTCACCTAATTGTCCTAGTATACGCTGGTACAGTTAACACACCTGCTACAGAGACTGACCAACAAAAACCTTTGTAGATCGGCAGCTTGCGCTAGCTCACTGAACGCTTTGATTGGCCGGTTCAATGGGGGTGGGGAGCGCAGCTCCCTTTCCTCTCTTCTACGAAGGTTACTTCATTGGATTGACCAGCTGTCAGGTTGACCCAAACCTGCCTCCTTTTGGTGGTGTTTGTCGGGATCGCAACACAATAGCCCGAGGAGAGCCTCCCCTGGTAAGCTCCGATTGGCTGGACTCAACCTTGGCGGTTTCTGATTGGTCCAATGAAGAAACACCAAGGTAGGTTGCCTAGGGATCCTGAGGAAGCTGATGTGTTATTCCTTCTCTGCATCGAAGGATCAGGAAGTTTGTAATCTCTGCGTGGCTGAGAAGTTTTTTTTACCTACTAGGACGTGGGGGAACAGGTGTCCCCCTAAAATAGAGCGCAGGCTGCTGTTTGTGTCCGGCTGTAACCCAGGAGTAACGTCAGGTAAGCAACGGAGAAATATACATTTCCTAATGTACAAAAAAAGCCTACAGATTTTTTATTTTATGGGGAGAGGGAGGTTCTTATTCATTTAGTTTTTGGTCATTTTTTTTTCCCCCAAATAGGATTTTTAACTAATAAATGCCCAGGGGTTATTAGTTCCTCAAAGTCCCCCGCCCCTCCCTTTTTTTCTCTGAAGACTTAAAGTTTCTTGGATTGGGTTAGCAAATAAACCCTGTTCACAGTGCCAGATAGGGTTAATGCCCTTAAGCATATATATCACAGGGGTTTTTTCCTCCTTCACCCTTCTTCCCACCTCCCACCAAGAATTGTATTTGAAATATAGCCTTGTACAAAGAATCATTTGTAAGTCACTTTACTTGTATTTCTATTTAAAAATGTTCACATGCATTTCTGAGTATTCATTTTAATCAGTATATATTTATTGAGCAGTTACAACGTTAAAGACATTGTGCTAGTTGCTATGGAGACTATAAAAACCCAAGAAGACAATATCCCTGCCCTCAAGAAGTTTACAGTTGAGAGACAGCCATACCAAAAGAAAGACTATAATAAATACTTTAAAGGATGTAAGTATAAATAAAGTTCTGTGGAAGTATAGCTGAGAGAGAGACCAATTCTGGCCATGGGACATAAGGGTAATGGAGAAGGGTATTCACTTAAGGCTTTATCTGGATCCTCAATAGGCCTTTGAAGAATGGGTAGAATATAAAGAGGAAAGGAAAGGGGAGAGAACACCAACATGGACAAAGGAGCAGAAATGGCAGCATGGGACCTGTTTGAGAAGTGGTTGTTAACAATATGTAACTGAGAGTAATGTAATGGGAAATATCGCTAGAACGGGATCCAGTCACAGAGGCTTTTGAATGCATTCTTTTGAACATGAATAAGATATTCTTTTAAATAATTACTAATTAAAAATATTTGTGTATCATTTCAAAAGCTGACATTTAGATTTATTTTAAAATAAAGTGTGCTAACTTTATATCATACATGATTTAGTGCCATTTCTCTTGACTAGATTTTTTTAAAAACATCTGTAGTACATGGTATAAGAGGGCATGTGCTTTGATTTTTTTTGCAATTGAGAAAGAGATCATTAATCTTTTAACATTCTCTTGCTGATACTTTTTGTCGGCAGCTGTTTGAGTATTTGCAAGATGGCTAGCTAGGGATAGAGATGAAAGTTTTCTGTGTATATGGAATTACTACACATGATCTTCTGAGTGTTATTCTGTAGATGCAGTTTCCAAAGGGAGTGCATGAGATGAGTTATGGGAAGAAAATATGAGAATATGTATATTTAGTTTTTCTTATTTTTTTAATTTCTCTGTTTTTTGTATTTTATGATGTGCCATTGAATGTTTATTGAAGTTACATGTAGATTATTACATGGATTTGGGGGCCTGGATTCTCACAATTTTTTGCTGTCCCATATTATTTAACTTGGGGAGAATCCATTTTATGAAAGACAAGTTACAATGATGTGTATATACTCCTGGATTATAGATTATGCACATAATAATAATAATCAGCAGGGTTAAAAGATGATCATTTCTAGAAAGAAAGAAAGAAAAAGAGAGAGAGAAAGAAAGAAAGAAAGCAAAGAAAGATTGATCAATCATTTGTACCAGTCTTTAATATTACTGATTTGATTTTCTGTCAATGCCTTCTGTGTACCTTCAAGCTATTGTACTTTGAAAAACATATTGTGTTACCCACCTAATTTTTCTGGTCTTTACTCCTTTCTCTATTTAAGTTTATATATATTTCTTATTTGTATACATTTGTAGTAGGTCTGTATGAATATCAATATGTTCTGTTTACATAAGCTTACTTATAGATATTTTTTCATCACCCTCTCCAGAAACAGCTGAGAATGACCACTTTAACTCACCGGGCCCGTCGCACTGAAATAGGCAAGAACTCTGAAAAGAAGGTGGAAAGTGAGGAAGACACTAATCAAGACAGGAGTCCAGACAATGAAGATTCTGGTGACTCTAAGGATATTCGCCTCACACTTATGGAAGAAGTATTGCTCCTGGGACTAAAAGATAAAGAGGTAACACAATTGGGTTTACTAGTCTCTCCCAAAGACTCTTGAATATTGGAATGTTTTTAAGAAGTAATATGACAGAATATTTTCATTAATGCTAAGTTGGCCTTAGAATTGTGCTCTAGCCATCAGGTGGGTGGGGGAGTTTGGGAGGGTAGCTGATATTTGGAGGGTAAAATCCGGAAGTATAATTACTTAAAGGGTAATTTAATTACAAAATTCCTCCAAAATTTTAGAAGATAGGAGAGAGTAGAACACACGTAAAATTTTTGTACTTGTAGTTTCCCAAATGACATTGATGGTGAAATAGCCTCCTATTAAACTAAGAGGGCCCACACATTGAAATTGTCTTGAAGTGTGAGGAGGAAAATCTTTTAAATGACAAGACAAGAAACGTGTATGATTAGCTGTTTTATAAAAATAAACAGTGAATAGGTTTCAACTTGCAATGCAGTAGAAATAACTTTTTAAAAATTCTGTGGATCTTCAGAAATTAAGTATCAACAACTGATAAATATTTTAATTTCAGAAAATGTTTTTAAATTAATTGCAGATTTCTCTTTCTAAGTTGTCCCTTGTTAATAGAACACTTCATAATAGAATTAGTCTTGAAAAAGCAGGTCTTAAGAGTATAACCACATATTTGCTGGTTCTTCTACTGTAATACATTATCCTTCATTTGTAATTTAACTTTTTATTGTGTTTCACTTTCTTCCCTCATGAAGAGATTATGAAGAAATTTAACTTAATATTTTAAACAACCATTTCTTTTCCAAGAAAGCTTTTAGTAATATAATAATAATGATAATAAAAGCACATATATTATTGGCCTTCATTTTGAAAACTTAACAAATTAAAATGTTACTTTACATTAAAAAATACTAAATTTGGCTTTGATAACTATCCTTAGCTAGTAATGAATTGGCTACAAACATCTAGTACCATCTGTTCTTTCCTGCATTGATTTCTCAATTTGGGATTATTCTTGTTTCTTAGACTTTACATTCTCTATAGCACGTTTCCCTTTTCTATTTTTTTATCACGTCAAATTACAGACTGGAACAAAACTTACAAGACTTCTTATAGCCTGTGTGTTGTTAAAACTAATATTAGAGACATGCACATATGTACTTGGCCAAGACAGATATATCAGAAAATCTTGCCTGCAAGTGTACTTTCCTGTTTGCTGAGAAAGTTGATGAAGCTCTAGTTTTACGAAAATTAAGCAAATGAAAATGCAAAACTGACTCTCCAAGAGACTATCAGAGTAGGTCTGAAGATTAGGCGGCATAAATACTGTTTTGAGATGTTTACACAGTACCTAGGATGCGTTTGCTGACTGTAGAAGAGCATATTAGAACTAAAAAGCTATTTGGTTTGTTTTACTTTTGAATAGGAATGATTAATTTCCTGCTAACCTTAGATACTAGAATTTTTGTTTCTGTTTTGTGGAGAGTCTAACTTTGGACTTCTCTTCGTGTGCTTTTAAATTTATAATAGTTAATATAAATACAAGGAAATAGAACAAGAAATAAAGAAACTCTGGTGAGGTACTGTACAAAGATGAATAGAGAATTAGCCTTTTGAATAATTACCTTTTGAGTTCTAATTTTATTTTTTAAAATAGTTGATAAATTACATTTTTAGCTTTCAGTTGGCTCAGGAAGATCAAGAAATGATAAATTCTTAGGTATAAATAAATAGGAGAGGTCAAACCTTCTGATTTATTAAAACAGTAGTGCTATTCCAAAATGCTGGTTATATAACTCTCTCTAAAAATATTAATTGATGGGGCTCTATTGGGTGGCTCAGTCAGTTAAGCCTCTGCCTTTGGCTCAAGTCATGATCCCAGGTCTTAGGATCACACCTTGTGTTGGGCCCCCTGCTCAGCAGGAAGTCTGCTTCTCCCTCTGCCCCTACCCCCACTCATTCTCTCCTCTCTCTCTCTCTTTCTCACTCACTTTCAAATAAATAAGTAAAATCTTTTTAAAAAACATTGATTTCCAGCACTAATTATTTTCTTCTCACCTCCTAAACTACTCATAGATTTATTTAATCATTATTTAGTGTGATTGGGGGCACCCATGATGTGCTTAGCATTATGCAATACTAAAGTAAATATAAAATACTATAAGATACTATGTATGGCCCCTGCCCTCATGAAACTTGCATTCCAGCTAGGGAGACAAAACATACATACTTTCTAAAAGTTAAGTAACCCAAAGATCCATCATCTGTGGAATGGATAAAAATGAGTTGTCCATTTATCTAAATGAATATAAACATCTTTTCTATACAGAATGAAAATGAACATTGTTATAAAACATGTATGATTCTCATGTAATATTCAGTAACAGACAGACAGAAAAGACATACTATATGATTCCATGTATATAAAATTCAAGAAAACTAAACTGTTTGGGGTTACATATTTAGATGATTGAAACTACAAAGAAAAGCAAGAAAGGGATTACCATAGTTGTTAGCATAGTGGTTACCGTTTTGTAGGGGGGAAGATAGGAGGAGGGTATTAGTAACTAGAAAAGAACATGAGGGGGCTCTCTGGGTACTAACAGTTTTCTGTTTCTGTATTTGGGGAAAGTTTCATGTATATTTACCGAGACATTAATCATTGAGCTTTTTTCGCTTTTGTTTCATGCACTCTTCTGTATATGCATTATATTTCACAGTTCAAAAGATTTCTAAATAGGTAAACAACAGTAAAAATCCAGTAAGTTTTTCCATGTTAGAACAGTAAGAGTCAAGAGAGTTGGAAGGAAGAGAGAACATAATGGGTTGAAATAATCTGGGGAAGAATAGAAGGCAGTAAAACAAGCTGGGCCTTTTTTCTTTTCTTTCTTTTTTTTTTTTTTTTTTGAAGATTCTATTTATTTATTTGATACAGAGAGAGACAGTAAGAGAGGGAATACAAGCAGAGGGGGAGTGGGAGAGGGAGAAGCAGGCTTCCCGCTGAACAGGGAAGCCTGATGAAGGGGCTCAATGAAGTGGCTCAATCCCAGGACCCTGGCATCATGACCTGAGCTGAAGGCAGATGCTTAACCACTAAGCCACCCAGGCTCCCCCAAGCTGGGCCTTTAAGAACAGGTAAGATTAACATAAACGGAGTAAAGAAAACACATTCTGGATGAGGGAACCTGAAATTATTATGAGCTTGATGAGTTTGGGAGTTAATTAACCACTGTGACTGAAGTAGGTGTTTTCTTGGAGAAAAATGAGAATCAAAATTGGCAAACTAGATTCAGACTAGAGTGTGGCAGATTTTGAGTGTCAGGCAGAGACTTGCAGACTCTTTCCTTTATTTATTTATTTTTATTTTAATTCCAGTGTAGTTAACATACTACATATTAGTTTCAGGTGTACAATGTAGTGATTGAACAATTCTACACATTACTCAGTGCTCGTGACTATAAGTGTACTTTTAGTCCTTTTCACCTATTTCATCCATCTTCCCACCCACCTCCCTTCATAATGATCAATTTGTTCTCTATAGTTATAGATTCTTCCTTTAAGTAAAGGGATCAGCCTAATGAAAATAGGAAAGCCCATTTCATTTTTGTGTCCAAAATAAGGACTTAATGATATTTTTGCTCTATGTTCTTTGTGAATATATGTTCTAATATGTAATATAATTTCTTGTTTTCACATGGCTTAAGGTTTGTGACATGTCAAAAAAATCCTAAGGGTTAAACTTTGTATCCCAAAGTCCCAAAGTTAACTTTTGCTGAAGATTTCCGTAAGATTCTTTGTTTAGAACCCAATACTACAGTTCTTAAAATTATATCTATTTGAAAACATGGGGTGGCCTGGGTGGCTCAGTGGTTAAGCATCTGCCTTCAGGTCATGATCCCAGGGTCCTGGGATTGAGTCCTACATGGGCTTCTTGCTCAGCAGGGAGCCTGCTTCTCCGTCTCCCTCTGCCTGCCACTCCCCCTGCTTGTTCTCTCTCTCTCTGTGTGTCTGAAAAATAAATAAAATCTGAAAAAAAAAAAAAAAAAAGATTATTTATTTGAGAGAGCAAGAAAGACAGAGTGTAAGAGCCTGGGGGAGAAGCAGAGGGAGAGGGACTAGCAAACTCTGCACTGAGCCCAGACCCTGAAGCCTGAAGTACGGCTTAATATCACAACCCTGAGACAAAATCAAGAGTTAGATACTTACCCCACTACACCACCCAGGTGCCGCAAGGGTCAGCTGTGTTTTAAAACCATTCTGTGGCAGGGGTGCCTGGGTGGCTCAGTTAAGTGTCTGACTCTTGGTTTTGGCTCCGGTCGTGATCGTAGGGCTATGGTTTCAGGGTCATGAGATCAAGCCCTGCCTGGGGTGCCAGGCTCAGCAAAGGGTCTGCTTAAGGCTTTCTTCCTCTGCCCCTCCCCACCATGTGTTCCACACTCTCTCTCTCTCAAATAAATAAATCTTTAAAAAAAATACAGTTGACCCTTAAAAACATGGGGGGTAAGGGTGCCTAATACCCATACAGTTGAAAATCCATGTATAACTTTTTGCTCTCCCAAAACTTAACTACAAATAGCCTACAGTTGTTTAAGGGTCAACTGTGTTAAGCTTCACTGTCTTGTGAAAATAATCAAGAAGTCTAAGTATATGTTGAAGAGTCTAACCTTTTAAGTACATTTAAAATTAGATGTTATCAAGGACCTCTGATTGGCTCAGTTGGTACAGCATGAGACTCTTGATCTCAAGTTTTTGAGTTCAAGCCCCACATTGTGCATGGAGCCTGCTTAATAAAATAAAATAAAAGTTAAGAAAAAAAAATCTCAGTTCGGTAACACTGCCCTCAACTGAGAAAATTAAACTTGAGCACCAACCTGACCAAAATAATACAGATTTATTTTCTGTTGAAATCAAGATCCCATTTATTTGTCATTATTGCATTTGGTAGGAGTTTTGATATAGATATTATTGACTCATGGACAATTAATACTTTAATTAAATTGCTAGGATATTTAAAACGTCTCCTTTATGAAATCTTT